ATGGCTGGAGCTGTGTCAGGGCAGGCTCAGGGTGGATCTCAGGGCAAGGTTCTTCCCCCCCAGGCTGGTTGGGCACTGAACAGGCTCCCCAGGGCAGTGGGCACAGCCCCAAGGCTGCCAGAGCTGCAGGAGGCTTTGGCTGATCCTCTGGGGCACAGGGGGTGACTCTTGGGGCTGGGCCTGTTCAGGGCTGAGGGTCGGACTGGATGGTCCTTGGGGGTCCCTCCCAGCTCAGGATATTCTGGGATTCCCCTGCCCTGAGACATCTCGGGGTGACACCTGCACAGAGACCCTGCAGACATTCAGTCTGGGGCTCTGGATGAAGGGCTTACAGGGGAAGGTCCTGGGGGCTGTTTTGCTCAGAACATGATGAGTTTTATCTCCTTGGACTGAAAACACAGTGAAAACTTGAAGTTCTTCCCATCCTTTAAATGATCCACCTCAGTGAGGAGTCGAGCAAGGTTGGAATGCTCTAAAAAAGCTGATTAGGGCAGCTTGGACACTACCCTGGAGGTAAGGAGGGTGCACTGGGAAGATGATGGGAGAGCACATGGAATCCTGTCACAAGGACAGCAGACACAGCACATGCTAAAGACCCATCACTGCAGTGCTTGGGGCACCTGCAAGTGGCTGGGACTAAACAGTCCGTGATGAGTTGTAATTTTATGGGATGCAAAAATCCACCTGTGGAATCTTCCATAAAGACATGAAACGACCGAGTTACAATTTCTTTAAGGGATCAAAATAACAATATTTCCAAATTAACAGAAAACTTGCAGGTTTTGGACACTTTGGTTTTTAAATTAAAAAAAAATAAACTTCTGAAGAAAGCTCCTACTTCTGGGAAAGGCTTCACAGACTCGAAGACTCATTATTTTCTCAAAAAAAAAAAAAAAAATTCAGCCAAAGTTTTTCAGCAAGCCATGAAGGCACTGCAGGATTATTAATCACTCTCTTGGACAATGTGCATGTAATAAAACAAACTAAAATTAGCTGGAAAAAAAAATTTTCAAAGAAAAGGCCACTTTCCAACATCCTGACAAATGAAATAAGTGGATGGCCAAACAAAGGGCTCAGAGCACAATTAAGGCAGAGCAGGAACTGAAGGGGCAACACTGGTCCAGTGCACTTCTCATGAAGCCTTTCATCCATCAGAGCCCCCAAAAGTGCTTAATCAAAATAATGGAAAGCAGAAGGAGAACAAAATGACTTGGAGGCAAAGGGAAAAGAAAAATGGAGACTGTTGCACATATTAGAGAGGTGGGGAAGGGGCTTTCCAACACTTCCCCTTACAGAAATTGCTGCAGGTCACTTGGCTTCATTGCTTGTCTCTGAAATAACTCCTTTCTCCTCCCTTAAACGAGTGACAAAGTGCACAGGGTATCGCAGGGAGAGAGCAGCACTGGCTGATCTAATAACACTGGCAGATGTGCAGTCTCATTTCTCACCCTTTCCACAGCCCTTCACCATCTTCTGTCACTTGTGGTGCCTGGTATTTGACCACGTGTGGCTTTTCCTTGCCCGGCCACCCACACAGAAGTTGTTCCTCCTGATCCTCTGGTTGTCCATCTGACACATCCTAACCCCAGCCTGCTCCTTCCCCTGCCTCGGGCAGGTCCACCTGGAGTTTTTCCCGTTCTTCCCAGCTCTTGCCCGGCCTCAGCAGTTCCCTGTGACCTGCAGAGGGTCCTTTGTTCCCTCTCCTTTCAAGATCACACACGAGGCCGCCGGGGCTCGCGAGTGAAGTGCAGGGTGGCACCCACCCAACCCCATGAGTTATGGCCACAGGAAAGCCAGCAGCGAAAATAAAGGCTTGTGTTTGAATAATACAGCAGCCAGCCTTTATTTTATCAACTATTTAGGGGGCTTTTGGTTAATGGTTGACTCTTTTTTTTTTTTCCCCTGAACGTGGAGGAATATCAGCTCTGAAAGAGCTGCATCGACACCATGAATGGAGCTGCAGAGAACGAGGCAGAGGTGACACTGAGCCGTGGGAGGACACAGTCAGCACATCTACGTCCTGCCTGTCATATCCTTGAGCCATTCCCTGTCCTCCTGACAGGTGTCTGAGCAGTTCATAATCCTGTGGAGCTCATTAAGCCTGGAAAATGTAATGAATGTCTTGCTTAAGAGTACAAATATCCCGTGTATTGTGATGGCAAAGCTGACCAGTCCTGGTTCCCTCTCACACAGCTCTGAACCAGCACATCAGTTCTTCTTTTGCACAGTTTGGGGCTTCGTGGTTCCCTGTCATTCCTCTCCCAGCTGACACACTAGAAAAATGAAATTAAAATACGAAGTCTTGCCCAAATGTGAGTGCTCTTGAAGTAAGAGGAGAGAGGTCGTGCACAGACCTGGCAGTGGAAGAATAATGACAATAAAATGAAGGCAGCACTGCTGGCTGTGCCTGATGGGACACTGTTGCCAGGAATGGAGACATTCCCGGCTTCCAGCTGAACGTTTTCATGGTGCCTCCAACCAAACAAAAGGAAATATGATATTACAGAAAATCTAAAAAGGGAAAGAAACTTTGGAGATATTTAAATTCCCAAATCTGAGAGAGACTCAGCTGTAAGACCCACCGTGACAAATGATGGGAGTTCTGGAAAGGGGCAGGAGAAACCCAGGAGAGCTGTGTCCATCTGCACAGGTGGGCAGGAACAGCAGGATGGGGACAGGGTGCCCAACACCAGGGTCTGTTTATCCCCCCTGGAATGGGGCAGATTGTGGTGTGGGGAGGTCCCTGTGCTCAGGGAGTCCCCAGAGCCTCTGGGGAGCAAGATGGTTGTGGTGCCCTGTCAGCAGCTCCTGGGCAGGCACAGGGGCTCCAGTTGGAATCACAGGATCGTTGAGGTTGGAAAAGCCCTCTGAGACCATCCAGTTCAACCATTCCCTCACCACTAAATCATGTCCTCAAGAGCCACATCCACATGTCCTTTAATTCCTTCTAGGGATGGGGCCTCCACCACCTCTTCCCTGGGCAGCTGTGCCAGGGCTGGGCAATACTTTGCATGAAGAAATTTTTCCTAATATCCAG